CTGAAATTTTGGTACTGGAGCCCTTTCTCACTACGAGATGCATTACCAGTGTACCTGGCAAGATGAAAATAAGGAAAATCCAACAACAAAGAGGAAAGATAACCAAGAGAAAAGGTTTTTCAAAAAATCCCCAAAGCCAGTATGCTCTTAGGAGAGGCAGCTCAGTATTTTCAGTCAGTCCACGAAGTCACACAGAACGTTGGTGAAAGTAGCTCATAGCTTTGACCTCCACAGTAAAATGAAAAGTGTTTTCTGTCTCTTTTTGATTCAGTGGCTATAATGATTGAAATTTTCCACTACCTTGTGTAAGAGGTTGCAAGGAAGGCACAAATCAGAAACTTGGGTTGTTCTAAAAATTGTTCATGTCTGCCCAGGCTTACTGAGGAGCATGTCTGTAAGCCAAAGGACCATCTAGAAGATGGGTTTTTCTTGTGCCAAGTGTCCCATCCCATCAGGACACCTAGAATGAATGTCAGGAGACGTATCAGTGGGAGAACTAATGGGGCAAAACATCTTCTGCAGCAGTAACAGTGCAAGACTGTTAGTGGTCCTGGAGAAACTGATTTATCTGGATCTTTTGAAGGTCAGCAGTCTCACCAGAAAGCTTGGACTCTTCACTTCCTCCAAAAGATCCATGCATTTTTTTAATGATTTGGCTTGTTGTCAGAAATTGCTTATTTGTCTGAAAGCTCAGGCATTCAGAACTCAGCCCTGCTGCCTCCTGCTGCCCAAGGCAGTGGTACATGTAGAATCATAGAATCACAGAATGTTTTAGGCTGGAAGGGACCTCTAGAGGTCATCTGGTCCAACCTCCCTACACAGTGGGGACATCTCTCCCTAGGTCAGGTCTCCCAGAGCCCTGTCAAGCCTGACCTTGAATGGTTCCAGGCATGGGGCCTCCACTACATCCCTGGGCAGCCCAATCCAGTGAACTATCACTCTTATATTAAAGAATTTTTTTCTAATATCCAGTCTAAATCTACCCCAGTTTAAAACAGTTACTCCTTGTCCTATCATTACAAACCCTTGTGAATAGTCCCTCACCCGCCTTCCTGTAGGCTAATCTCAGGTACTGGAAGGTTGCTATAAGGTCACCCCCAGAGCTTCCTCTTCTCCAGGCTGAACAGCCCCAACTCCCTCAGCATGTCCTCACCGCACAGCTGCTCCAGCCATCGGATCATTTCTGTTGCTCTCTTGACACTCCAACAGCTCCACGTCATTTTTTTTTACACGCTGCAACAGCGCCACGTCCTTCTTGTGCTGGGGGCTCCAGAACTGGACACAGGACTCCAGGTGAGGTCTCACGAGGGCAGAGCAGAGTGGCAGGATCACCTCTCTCCATCTGCTGGCCACGCTGCTTTTGATGCAGCCCAGGATGTGATTTCCCTTCTGGGCTGCTGGTGTGAATTGGTGGCTCATGTCCAGTTTTTCATCCACCAGCACTCCCAAGTCCCTTTCCACAGGACTGCTCTCCAGTGTATCCTCTCCCAGCCTACACTGATGGTGCTGGTTGCCCTGGCCCAGGTGCAGGACCCTGCACTTGGCCTGTAACCCCTGTGCTCCCTGCAATCCCGTGT